TTAGGCTTACTTCTAAACTGGTTATTTATTTCGCTCTAATTTAAACATGACGTGTATTCAAAGAATAATTCGGCCTTATGCTGTTTAAATGGATGACATAACTGTCATATGTGAGCACTTAGGCTGGGGCCACACGAGCGCACGAAGTACGTCCGTTGTAACGAACGTACTTTATTACGGACGTTGCTGAGGACCGCACATAGTTGCAGAATGCGGTGCGTAGTATTTTTGTCTGCAATGGAGCCAGAAGGAAGCGTAGCATACGCCTCTCTTATTTATTTCCATAACGGACGTCACGACGTTCGTTACAACGGATGCATTCTGTGCGCTCGTGTGGCCCCAGCCTTAGAGATCATGTTGGAATTCACTATTTACGGCTTTCATTGAACGAGAAGGCAAGTACGTGTATAACAGGTTACAAATATTTGACAGATGTCGGCCTCATATTGTGGTCTTCTGGTGTGAGATATTATGCAGTTTCGGAGCAACAGCTTGCTTCCATTTTCAGGACTAAATTTGTATTAGATTATCAAAATTTCGGAGGAACTGCGCTGCAAGAATACATAAAGCTATAACTAACAAGGCTAAGTCTACGCAGAAAGGTCTTATTTATGAGCCGGTGACTGTGGCTAGGCTGCTTAAGACATTTCTAGCCTTTTATGGCACCCGAGTTCCATTACAATGTCCACAGCAACCTTCCATTAAATATTATCTTCAGCGAAATGAATCCAAACCACGCCCTTACAATCAGCTTCTCGTAATGCACATTAACACTACGTAAGAGCTCAGCTTCTCACGGGGATGAAAGCCAAAGTTGTAGTTTCCGCGGGTTAGAGGCGATGTAATTTATATAAAGGTATCAGAAGTATTTACTCCTCTTCCCTGAAGATGGAGGCAGGAGGTCCCTCCAAAACGTTCCTACATATCTACCAAATTACACGGAATCACATCAAAGGAGAGCGCAATAATATTTTTTAACTCCGCCAGCTATATCTACAGATGATCTCTTCTATCTCTTCACGCTCATCCAATAAAGATGTGCATAAATTTCTGATGCGTACTACGTTTTTCACCCATCTCATATTCCTTTCGTTTATACCCCTAATAATATCTGGCGAAGAGCATGAATTATGAAGATTCTCAACAGGTCTGCACATATTTCTTCCTCCACTTGTTACTTCCTCTTTCTTAGCCCATATCCACCACATGTAAAAAATGTAGATGATAATAATAATAATAATAATAATAATAATAATAATAATAATGTGTGAAGTAACATCACTTCCCGTTAAAAATACAAATTCGATATTACGTTAAGAAAACTAATCGGTTGCCTGGAAAAGAGGACATTCTCGGCGGTTAAAATATGCGATATATTCCTTTTCCTGACTAAGCAGTTCAGCAAAGGGCTGTGACTTGCAGCTCACGGACTGCATTTGTCAGTTAAGGAAATAAAACACTTCCTTTTTATAAGTTACATTATTTGTGAAGTGTATTTAAGATCCGCGCTAAGACATGTATATCAAGGAAAAGTTTATTAACGATGCTCGATACAATATATTAGCAAATTTATTGCTTTAGGGCAATTTTTTTTAGGCAAATGTGGACGGAGGAACTAGTATTTTAGGCAATTTTAGCCAGAACGAGATACGAGAGACGAATATCGATCGGAAGAAGGCATTCATTCTTTTTCAGCAAAGTATTATGTTGCCGCAAAATTATATCCCTGTAAAGTAGGCAATGATGAGTGACGAGACGAAAGCAAGAATAAAACAAAAGTTCGGAAATTATACGTTAGGGATTGCTGTGTAGTGCTCCTAATTGGAATGCTACATTCAAAAACCTGAACAAGTGGAATAGCGGGAAGGGATACGTGAGTTTACTCTGCAATTTCTTAACGTGTCATTAATGTTATGCATATCCTAGGATTTTACTGGTAGGAGGGGAAATGCAGAAGACCTCACACAGCGTTCGGAAAGAAGAACCAAGCAAGGCATAAATACGCAGCGGGTTGTCAAAGGAAAAGGGGCACTGAAGCAAGAAACGTAGTAGACAGAGAGGTCTCCAAGTTTTACCCGTATGTACGTAAGAGAGAATGTAATAATGATACCAGAACAGGAAAGCTAAAGGTGTTAAGGCAAGACGAGACGAGGCCTGCTAATTATGAGATCATTAGCTTCAACAGCTGGACGTTAATTAGAATGATGAAATCAAGGTAGATGAGATGGGCAGAGAATGTAGCACACACCGGGGCGAGAAAGGGTAAGAGAAGGAGAGACAAAAGAATGCATACAGGATTTCGGTGGGAAAGCCAGAAGAAACAGACCACCATGGAGACCAAGACGTAGGTGTGAGAAAGATATTAAAATGGTTCTCGTAGAGACTGAACGGGGATATCATGAGTTTCCATTGATTCGGCCATTAATTCTAAGAGTAACACTTGTCTGAATAAAGAGCAAAAGCATCTGGGCTCTGTGTATGTCCCATATGTGAAGGGTGTTTCGGAGAAGTTTCATACAACATCAGGATAATCTTCGAAACTAAACACACACTTAGGAGATCGCTCATGAAAACGAGGCCGGGAACAGATCCGCAACAGACGACACAGTGCGTCTACAGCATTCCTTCAGAGAGTGGCAGAGGCTACATTGGCGAAACAGGGAGACATCTAGCCTGCGGCTCCGTTAACATAGACGCAATCTTAAACAGGGTCTTCTAGGAAAATAAAAAATTAGCCCAAGATTCCTCTGAAGAGGGTCACAGAGTAGGCTGGGATGATGCCAGGATTTTGGAAATTGAACATAACGGCAGATATAGGAAACATAAGGGCATGCTTAACCAATCCAATCAGCCAACCCAGTTTGGACATTTCTCCTACTGACCCCCCTCATCAGCAATGAGGTTCCTTACTCACAGAGAACATCTGTATCACGTGATAGATTCTTCATGGATTTCCATAAAGTTCTAGTCTCGAGTGTTCAGGTTTTACTCCACAGATGGCGCTAGCAGTAGATAAACCGTGTCTTCACAAACAAATTTTTATTTCTTCGCATTTGTGCTCATGCACTTGGTTTTGTTGGCTAGGATTATAGCAAAATTTCTACCTCCTCTTCTATCCTAGTTCCACACATGTGCGTGCTCTATCACAATTTTTATTGCATGTTTTTTTGTTATCTCCCTCCGAATTAGCCGGGTATCAGGTGATTACTTAGCTGTATGAATCTAACATGGATTGTCCAGTGACTGAGGTTAACACTTTCTAAGGGACCCAGCTGAGTAGGTGTCTTTCTAGTTTCTAGAATACCGGACGATGGAAAAAGTCCAGAAACCAGTAATTCTGAATATCATACGCCATCGTATAGCCAGTAAGTCTCTATAACGACTGAGCTATATCGATTCCCTGAAATTAATGGAAAACAAAAATAATCCAGAGCTTTTTGTAGTGCACTAACGTGAGTTCTATAATTGAGATCTGAATTTTAGATTTAGGTGATATTGTCTGGGTTATTGCAGAGTGTGATGGGGCTGTTCTGCTGTTAATAACTTTTGTCCTGATAATAGAGGCAGAATGTTCATCCGAAAAGCTCCTAGTCACGCACCAGACTACGTGGTTTCATAACAGAAAATACCACACCTAAACAATTTATTACACAAGAGAGTAGAAGAGAAATTTATAACTCATAAGCTTACACACAGTTTCAGGTACTAAGAAACGGTTTATAAAACTGCATGGTGTATGATAAGTGCAATCTCATAACTTCAAAACAGTTTATTTCGAAAATAATCTGCTCGGAAATGGACACTTGAGATCGTAAGGGACAGGAAACAGGTTCGTTTCCATTCCATGGTGAAGAGATATGTGTTTTATAATCCGTATTGAAAAACGTGCGGCCAGGCCTTACAAGGAGCAGAAGAAAAGACCTAAGAGAGCAAGACAAGGGAAGGCAGAAGGGGGAGAAGATAAAAATGAAAGAGAAGAAGACTGGAAAGAGGAAGACCTGAAGAAGAGTGTAAGATGAGGGAGGAGTATTGAAAGAAAAGAAGGGTTACATAATTTACGTCTTCAGTAGCCCTCTTTTTTTCAGTAAATTGTAAGTGCTTAAAATGACCTCTTCTTAAAAAATTGGGTTTAAAAGGCACAAGGTTAGATGACTGCACATTTTCAATTACGACTCCTATAATTGTTTTGGTCACGTGGAGTGACGAAAACAGAAAGAGTGTGCATACGGAAACGGTAGAAAAGGGTCAGTCCTTATGAGGTCAAAATGGAAAAGTCGGTCCCTCCAATCATGCAGGATGGTGTTTTCCAGAACAGGCATATGTCATGGCCCGGTTTAATCTAATAATATATTGATAATAATGATTTATTATCATCCTTAATAAATTAAAGTATATTTGGGTTCCTGTGATGCAGTTTACCTAGAGTACGCTCGACACACACCTGTAGTTCGCAATGATGCTGGTCAACAATACTTTATAAGGATAAGTAATGACATTCTTAGTTCCTGCAACAATGAACTCCGAGACAAATATCCAAAATTTGTAGTGAAATAATAATAAATATATTTCTACCTTCCAAAACTGAGTAATAATCATCATCGTCGACCACAACAACGAAAATAATCGGCCACGGCAACGCCAGCAGCAACAGCAACAACATTAATGGTTAAACACGTGTCGTTCAACCCAGATAAAATCCTTGATGTAACCAAACGCAAGCCCGGCAAGACGTCCCAGAAGCATGACTTGCTGATAAGATTTTATCAAACTTCCTGCAGCTCCCACGACAAATACCGAGATACTTCAAAATACTCGACCGCAGTTCGTCCCACGTCTCTCCTGGCTTGTCTTTCACAATCATTCTCTCAACCGCCTTCATATAAACAACGTGGCTGAGGAAGCCTCTTTGAATAAGAAAACAAAACAAATATAGTGGCTGGAGAAAATGAAGAAGCTAAGAACTAAGATTGGTATAAATGGGCCCAAGAAACGACACTTACCCAGGTAGTTCGCTGTCTCAGCGAATGCCAGACAGCAGGACACATGTGAAGAGGTGTATGAGTACAGCTGAACTAATTCTGACTCGGCTGGCAGGGCAAGCTACTCGCTGAACTGAAGCGAGGTCCCACCAGAGCCTTCTAGATGGTTCCAGATGTCGAGGGTATAAAACATGTTGATTCGAGGGAGAATAATTAAATGCGGTAGTCTTGCAAGTGTCGAATGCGAGACGAAAAGTGTACATACATATTTTCACGTAATTAGGTCCTTCGCCGATAAAAAAAAAATTAAAATCGCTAATAAGAGGCATCAAGTGAGATGGAAAAATGGCCGTGAAGGATGAGCAGGTAGAATTTTCAAGAAATCTAGTTACCTAAAATATTGCAGAATAAAATGATAAACAGCCGGTCACGGTAGCCGGGCGGTCTGAGTCATGCACTGTCTTCGCTCGCTTGTAAACCGGGATCGTGGGTTCGAATCCCACTCAGGGCATGGATGTTTAGTTTGTGTATGTGTGCGTTTTTCTGTGTTTGTGTACAGGTAGAGGCCTTGCGACGAGCTGATCACCCGCCCAAGGAGTCCTACCGAAAATGTCAGATTTAGAAAAACCGAAGTGAACGGAGTTCATGGAGGTAGGTCTAGGCCCACTGGGGCTGTAGTGCCAAGGAAAAAATGATAAACAATTTATTCTCAGCCCTTATTCTCCCTCATATAATTAGAACACATATTAATTTCATTTACTCCATTTTGAAATCATGAAACCGCTCTAGTAGTATAGGATTAGATACTTTATTATATTTTACATTAATTTGCTTATGTACAGGTGGAGGTCATGTGTTATTCGAAGGTACATACAGCCATGAATTTCTTAGGTTAATTGACTATTAATTTATTGGGCTTTATTTCCACTTCTTCCAAAGATCCTCAGGGTACGTTCAAGCACAGAGATATCACATTAAAAGAAGTAGTGATAACAGTAGTAGCAGCAGCAGCAGCGGTAGTAGTAGTAGTAGTAGTAGTAGTAGTAGTAGTAGTAGTAGTAGTAGTAGTAGTAGTAGTAGTAGTAGTAGTGTCGGTAAATGTAACGTTGTTCCTAAGTTTAAAATTAGCCAAGCACTATACCATCAAGACATATGGAGGAATGGAGGTATAGATCCACCAATCTCGACCTCGGTACTAGATAAAATTGAGTGGTGAGCTTCACGTTCCGGCCGCTTTACCTCGGGGGAAATGGGCCCCGGAACCCATTGGATAGGACTCTTGGTAGGTTCCAAAGCCGGTCTGAATGCTGTGAAGAAAAGAAAAGATTGAATGCAGGGAATCGAACCCGGGTCCTGCAGTTCGTAGCCAGTCACTATACCGACTGAGCTATCCCGACTCCACTATTAGGAGTAGTAGCAATGTCAAAAGTAAGGGAGAGACGAAGCTGCATGTAAAATTGTAATATTTTAGGAACATTTCCTTAATATAGTGCGTAACGGAAATTGTGTGGTGAGAGTAATTATGCAAATAAATACAGTAAACATGAAGTTCCCCATGCCTCAACTTCAAATGACTTACACTGCTAATAAGGATATGAACTGTTTGTTTTAAAAACTTAACCCTTTTACCTCCTTCTTACCCAGTTATTACGATTCTGTCTTTGCCCAGTAGCAAAGAGGAAAACTTACCAACACGTTGCACGTTGCTGCGTAACAACACACTTACTGGCTTTATTCCTACCGTGGCAATCCTAGAATCCAGATTGGTAGAAGAAATGTAACTTTGTTGAGGGATGGACGGAGAGAGACCTGAAGAAACGTGATACATTCTATTGCCCCACCCCCAGACGAGAGTTCAATCATCCCCAGTACCATCGCAGCCCTAGGCTGGCAGAAAACTGTAGTCTCAAATGTTAGGGTAAGTGGAAAATTTCATTTGATGAAAGAGACGAACTTTCAACATATCGTTAATGACAACTGCAATTATTTCAGCTCAATGCTGACAGCCTCGTCATGTGACGCTCTGAGCTTTGTGGCATTATCCAGTACAGAGTGTACAAAAAGGATTCAAAACAAACCTACCACCATATTTAATTTGTTTGTTCTGCTTAAAAGGCGTCCTGACAGTAATGAAATATGCAAGGGATGACCAAGATTGGTGTAAATGGCATGTAATTATCTAAAAATTCCATTATTTAATTTTGATTCACAGAAATTCGTAAACTTACTTTCTTACTTACTCATGGAGCTGAGCCCTTCTGGAGGAGCCGCCAATTCTGCAGCTACTCAAGAATTTCCCAGCATTTTATGGAACCCGAAGGTTCATCACCGTGTTCACAAGAGTCCTCCACTGGTCCCTATCCTGAGCCAGATCTATCCAATCCATACCATCCCATCCTATCTCTCTAAGATCCATTCTAATATTGTCCACCCACCTACGCCTTGGTCTTCCCTGTGGTCTCTTTCCTTCTGGCTTTCCCACGAATATCCTATACGCATTCCTCGTCTCCCTCATTCGTGCTACATGACCTGCCGACCTCATTCTCCTTGACTAGATCATTCTAATTATACTTGGAGAAGAGTACAAGTTATGAAGCTCCTCATTATGCACTTTTCGTCAACCTCCTGTCACTTCATCCCTTTTCGGTCCAAATATTCTTCTCAACACCCTGTTCTCAAACACCTTCAGTCTATGTTCCTCCCTTAATGTCAGAGACCAAGATTCACACCCATACAGAACCACAGGCAAAATTATAGTTTTGTATATTTTCATTTTTATGTTTTTGGACAGCAGACGAGAAGACCAAAGGTTCTGGACTGAATGGTAACAAGCATTACCCGAGTTCAATCGCCTCTTAATTTCCTCCTGAATCAGGTTTCGATCTGTTATCGTTGTTCCCAAATATCTGAACTGTGCCATATTTTCAAAACATCTGTTTGCTATCTTTGTCATGATTTTGCCCTGCATTTTGGTGACGAGACAGCAACATATACTTAGTTTTCTCTGTGTTTACTTCTAGACCAACCTCTTTAAATTCATAAACACGGATCATAATTAATATCTTATCGATATAATACAGATTTTAATGAATATTGCTACTGAAGAAAGAAATGGGAAGTTAACATGAAGAAGGATCATGCAAGGACGGGGCTGTGAAGGTGGATGGGACTGGCCAGGATTGTTTCCAGTGGAGGTCAGAAAGTTACAGCAACTTTGCTCCAGTTGGTTCACTTCAGTAGTGCCAGTAATACCACCGTTAGCTCTCAGTCAGTGGAGCAGAGTTACATAAAGTCTGTCTTACAGGATTGCGGGAGCAGATGTTCTGAGCTCTTCTCTTGTGCATTATTCCTGCTGAGAATACTGTTTCGACTAGGATCTTGGGTGATATGAGAAGAATATTTGGGCCGAGAGAGGAAGACGTGGTAGGAACTCAGACCATTAGGAAAACCAAGAATTAGTGAGAGGATCATATTAAAATTTATCTTAGAGAGATGGGATGGAGCGGTATGGACTGAATTGTCTCGCTCAGGATATGCAATAGTTAACCATGTTTTAGTGAAATTCGATTTGAGATATATCTGCATAAAGGTAATTGGCTTCTTCGATTTTCAGCCATCTTGACTGATTACAAAGCACGCATTATATAGAAGTATAAATACATGTTTACACATCATCGGAAATCGTTAATTAAATATCAGAGTTCTTAGATATGAGGACTCACTGCGTAACGTTAGTCAGCTGCTTTGACTGTTAGGCTCACTGACTGACTACAAGAGAAATATTATCATTAGGCCGTAAATGGAATTTTCCATATTTTCCATAAAGTTCTTCACACAGTTTTATCATAATATACGACAGAATTTTACCAAAAGTTACTTGGCAGTTTTAGATGTCGGCCATACTTAACCCATAAGAAATTTCAGGCCATAACTTAATATTTCCGTGTGGGTCCCATATCTTAAACCGTTTCACAGATAATTAAAATGCGATATTTAACCTTATTATGGTGGTAAAATACAAATTTCCATCGTTTTATCCAGCAAATTTTATCTTTTGATGAAATTCCGCTTTTAAGCCAGTAGCAAATAAGTGTAATAATATGCAAAGAACGCGGTAGGAATTTTGTATGTTACATTACAGAGGAAATCTACACTCTTTGCCGTCTTGTTCAGGCGAATTTCGGGCTTCGGGGACTTGATATGGTTTATAAGGCAGGATGGCTCTGCTAGACTAAATCTTAACCCTTTCTTATTCGTTTCTTGATACTCTATAAGCAATGCTAAATATTTGATGATCTGAAGAGAGTATTTTCTGTTTACTTCGAAGTAAAGTCATAACCGAACAAAACTCTTGAATGCATTGATATAAGATAAATTTAAACTAAACCCTTGTTGTGAAATATACAAATGTACCTCAGACGCTGTATTCCATGCACTCACTCACTCATGGAGCTGAGCCCTTCTTGAGAAGCCGCTAATTGTGCAGCTACTCAACAACTTCCCAGCGTTTTATGTAACCAGAAAGTTCAAAAGAGCCCTCCACTGGTTCCGATCCTGAGCCAGACAAATTCAATCCATTTCATCCAAACTTATCTCTCTAAGATCCATTTTAATATTGTCCCCCTACCTACGTCTTGGTATTCGCAGTGGTCTCCTTCCTTCGGGCTTTCCCACACAATATCCTATATGCATTCCTCCTCTCCCTTATTCGTGCTATATTCCCTACCCATCTCATCCTCCTTGACTTGATCAGTCTAATTATACTTGGAGAAGCGTACAAGTTAGTATTCCGTGCACACTACAGTAATTGTCTATTTCTGTTTATCTATTTATATACTGTTTTCAGCAGATGAGACTGTGAAGCCTTGAATAAGAGAATGATTAGTAAACAAGAAGTATGAATTAATCTTTCTTTGATACGACACGGACCGCATAGAAAATGATGCCTCCAACAATTCTTCGTTGCCGCGGGACAATGTAAACAGATATGTTTTCTAACAATGACAGGGGGATACACAGACCCACAGACGCACAGACTCTCCTTTCATACGAGACTGACCGTACAGGCAATGACGCTTTCAGCAATCCTTCTATTGTTG